TTTTGGGGTCTGTCACTAGAACTTGCCATTTTTTTAACTGGAAGAATCACTTTTTACGTGAATACGAAGTATTTCACTGAATAGATGTTGTTTAACTAGTGTTTGTCGAGTTAATCTCTCTTGCTCACTAGCGTGGTACCTCTACTGAAGTTCAGAAGTGGTCTGATTGCCTGTGAAGCTGCAGTTCTTAGGTGAGCTGCTGCGCGAGACCTGGTGACGTCACGAAGACCAAAGCCATGTCGCTGATGACGTCACAGCTCTGAATGCTGCAGAGTTCAACTTTCTGCATGTTTACATTCAAATCGCAATCTGTCAGTCAAATGTGCTGTAAGCTTGTTTGATAAAGTGATCATCATGATCAGCACTTTACATAAACTCTTTATATGGTAAAGGACCAAACTTCAGTGCCGGATCCTCTGGACAAAATGTACAGCTGTTCCTCTGACAGCAGGGTTGTTCTATAAAGTGGCATTCACTGACTGTGTTGGGTGTACAAAAACACCACAGGATATAAGCTCAAGTTCAAGTTCTAAGTCACACTTCCACTCTCCAGAGCACTGAGTATTTTTTATCCTCCACAGCAACGCCAGGCTGATAAACTAAATCCTTTTCCAGTGGTAATAGGCATATGATCTACTCTCTCATCTCATCTGTGGGTGTTCATAAATCTGCTCCATATGACAATGGTTTTTGGTTCTGGTCTCAGGTACTGCCCAGAATGCGGTGAGGTGGTGAGGATTTTCTGACCTTGGTCATGGGCTAAGCCTTGAGGGAGCATCTCACCTCCTGTAGTTGAGTACTAGCAGGCACGCAGAAGAGAGGAGCGAGCTGGCCACAGGAAGCTGCTAGATTATAAAAGGCTGCAAGAGGTTCCTCACGTAGTCATTCCTTTCTCCTTGTGCACTTACAGTATCAACTGTATGATTAATGGTGACTGGGGGTAATCTGACTCATGTGGAAAGGAAGAACCACTTCACATCAGTTTAAGTATAAACCTGTCTAATAAATCCCAGAAGAAGAAGAATCTCTTTCTGAACCGTCCTCTGAAGGTTTCGTTTTACTTCAGCCCCAGCTGACCTTTTTCAGGTAGTTCTTTCTTGCCCTCTGAGGGTCTGACATTGTCTTTTATTGTTTTAAAGAACATGAGAGGAGAGATTAAAATACCTATAGCAGTAATATTTCCATGACATTTAGGGGTTGACAAAAGTGCTGAATTTGACATCTGAGTTTAATAAAATAAACCACACAAGAAGACAAAATGACAACCATAAACATTTAACTACAAAATAAATATTTAAATGAAATTTAAAAATACCAACACAGTAGACACGTTAATTTTTACAGTTTCATAAAGATCTTCTTTGTGTAATACATGAAAAAAATATAAAAGGACATTATTTTACGTAACTACGTCAATTGATCCTTTCCTTACTGCAGTGTTTCCTAGAACAGAGGAAGACGCCTGTGGCGCAGGCTTATGTGAGTCTTGTGTCACCAGCGTGGACACAAATGTGCACTGTTTAGCTGCACAAAACAGAGAAATGCAATTTATATACCTGTGAGAGCCCTGTGGTCACATTAAAACAAGAAAACAGTAATTGAGATCGACTGTGTAATGGTCATTGATAGCAAATTAGTTTTGCATGACAATATTGATTACTGTAGTACTGATCTTCCCATTCATAATGGGCTTGCCACATCCACTCTGCAGTCCACTACACACTGTCTGGTGCAAGAAATAAACTGTATGTCAGTATTCATAAAACACTGGTTCCTTGCAGGCCTGGTTACCCAGAGATGGAGGCACACATTAGGAGCACATTTGCCTTTTACCGTGCTCCTTTCTTCATGTGTAATTCAGCACTGACCTAAATTCCATATGACCACTGTTTTGTTCACAGACAAAACAGGTGTAATTAAAACTGTAAAACTGTCAAATTTTTAAATGTATCTTATTTATTTATTATAATCACTGAGGTTTTGTTACATTCATAGCTAATAGATTTATTAAGCTGATGATGTGATTGACTGTGGCCCTTAACACTGGTCTATGTCTACTCTTATTTCTATAGAGAAAAATATATTCTCAGAGGTTTTGAACACATTTCTATACACACTAGAGGGAGACATTTCATTACTGCATTTACAAAGCAGCTACACTCTCAGTCCAGCATACACTGCTATGACAAGTCAAGGCATCTTGAATAATATTTGATCAAAAGATGACAAACTTTTAAGAAGTTGCTGGTCCAAATATATTCAGCTGTATCAATAAATATAGTGTAACAACCTTTAAATACCAAAGAAATTAACAAATTATAATAACTGTTACAGTAATAGCTAGAATAAAATAGAAGGCATCTGTCTGTTTGGTTCTACATTGCACTGGCTCCCAGGAATGTCCATTGTGTTCAGGTGTGTAACAGCAATGTTTCCACCCATCAAAACACACTTCCTGTTGAACCTTGTCATCACAAATGCGCTGCCCATCGGCAGGAGGGCCTGTCAGCAAAACAATTCAACTGTTTGAGCCTACAGACACGGTATTGACAGATGAGCAGAAGAGATTCTTGATGCTGTCACTGGACTGGAAATAAATAGTGATCAACACTGCAACAGGGGGGCTGGGTCCACCACAGTTACCTGCGAGGGATCTGGCACCTGAAAAGCACAAGAAAGATCAGCACAGCTTTAATGTTGTTAACTGATAGTTGTAGGAAATATTAAGTCTTTCTTCAAAGACTGTGCCATCACCTATCACATTCTTTTGTTTTTTGTCTCTCCTTTCTCCTCCTGCCTCTTGGTCTTTGTATCTTCCTGCAAAACAAACAAAATTCCCAGTAAGTCTATTCTCTGGAGAAATATTCTTTTTAACAATGCCAAAACTGATGTTATAACAATATATTGATGCGCTTACCTTTCAACCTTTACAATGGGTTTCCTAAGTCTGAGGAAAAAATGTTTCAATAAATTAACAATAACATCCATGTGACAACAGTCATTTTAATTATACAATTACACAAGTACGTAATGTGGAGGAGTTTGGGAGGGATGTTGACCCTTGAGAGTGGGGTTTGAATCCACTCCATTTCTGGGAAATACTGTGTAGAATCTGGCTGCAAAAAAGCAAGATGACAGCCACTGTATGCACAATAGTTTGGCTTCATTTTTCCATAGTGGGTGGAAGTGGCGACGTGCTGTCTGTCATATATACAGTCAGTGCTAATGAGGTAAACAGTCTGACCTCATATTTGACCAATACCACCATCTTTCCTTAACCTCTCTAACCAAAAGGTTTTTGTTGCCTAAACCTTACTGTAAAAATGATTCATGCTTGAGTATCCAGGAATGGAAACAGTTGGATGGTTTACAGCTTGGCATATACATTTATTAGGAATGTTTCCTCATTATGATGATAAAAACGGCAACTCAGGTATAATCACTCAGCCGTTGATGTTGTAAACAAGTCCTATAAATGTATGTGATTTCTAGAACACAGGGTTGGCATTTGCATACTTAAGAATATGTCATGTCACAAATGATTTGTTTTCTTACCTACATTCACATGTCTGATGCTCTACAAATGTCATCTCAACATATTCTTGACCTGGCTCTGATGGCCTGATTTTCAACAGCTGAGGGATATAACACGTTAGGACTATCAATACAAACAATTGCGTGACATATGTGTAGTAATGGAGCACAAACATTTATCATGAATGGATATACTGCGCAGTGCCCTTGTCTCACCTGCATGGTGACATTTTTGGTGTGGGTGGGATGGCACTCCAAGTTCTCATCCCCACAACAACCTGCACACCTCACCAACGGCACACAGGAGGGACTGTAGATGTGTTCCACCTCTGTGGGGTACTCCTGCACCACTTCCACCAGCTTCTCAATGGTCCGACAGAAGCTCCGACCCCACACTTCTTGGAACATCAGCACTGTGGATGAGTGGACAATATAGATTGTGAGCAAAATGTAGCCAGAAGGGTATCTTTGTTATTCTGTTTTACTTACACAATTTTTAATTGTATAAGCATTTATGTGTTTTCATAAAGCTTATTTAGTACTATGACACACAAACACTGTCAGTAATTACTTCAGTAATCCAACAATGCCATGCTTATACCATGTACACAGAAACCTAAAACTGGCTGCACACCAGTGTATCGCAGCTGGTTTTCACTCTGAAGTAAGTTTGCGTAATGTACAGTACACTTTCCTATGGGAGTATAAGGGTCCCAGTTGCACAGTCTGTGGGGGAGGAACAGGGATGAATATGGTCGAACAAACAGAAAAGGAAGAGAAAACAAACATTGGAAACATGGCCATGAACAGAACCCTGCTGGAGCTGGAGTTGCCCCACAGGCACCTCTGGGACTGCAGTGACCTCCAGGGTCACCAAATGGAGCCTGACACCACAACAGCTGTTTATAAAAGCAGAAAGGCTGGGAGGAAATGGCCAGGGAAGCATCTACGATACAGAAATGAGGCTGTGAACTCTAATGTTGTACACTGCAAAGGGCCATTTACTGCTCCTTAACATAGATATATGCCTGAAGCTTATTAGGCCTTTTTCTGCTACATGTCCTCATAATAGTCTCTGGCTACAAGAACATTCAACAGCATTAACTTATAGTGATATGAGTGAGGAAACAGATATGAGGGAAGAAGGTAAGGAGCTGAGTAATCCCTGCTAGTGTAGACATGTCCTGCTATTCTCCAAATTCAAATCAAATTCACTAATGAACTCACATGCAAGACTCAAGCTCTTTGGTGTTTACATTCACCAACAGTGCATGACAGATACACTTCTGTTCTTTGTCAGGACTGGAATCCATCAAACTCTTGTTTCTACTAATTTCACAATAAAATTTCAGTTTAACAAAAATAATTTGAGCTTCTTCAAAAATAACCCTTATGAACTCTCTTGTTGTAAAATGTTGTTTGATAAGCAACATCCCCAAGACTCACAAAAGAGTTTATGAACAAAGCATTCAAAAATTCTTACCTTCAGTTGTACTGTTTATGTCTGACAAGGGCAGACTCTGCAAAACAGAAAAGAAGGTTTAGTCAAAAAAATTATCAACCATTCATTAGGTTTTGCTGTAACCATAGTGTCATAATGTGTAAACCCCCTCATCTGTTTAGTTGAACATCTAAACTTAAATGGCTGAGATGAAACACATGCTTGTACATTACACTCCCTCCTACCCACACCTCCCAAACCTTGTACATGTACTGAATAATACATACATGAAGACAACATCAACCTGCAGATATACTGTACATTCGTTAAAAGCAGCAGAAAAGAACAGTCTTTATCTTAGTTTTAAAAGTGGCTGCAGTTGGAGCAGATCCAAGTTCTAAACAATAAATGAAGCAACATTAAGACGGCTTCATTAACTGAGTGAGATCATACATGTTTATCTGCAATAACTGTCACTGTCTCAGGTGAAGCATCACGTCTGTTTCAGTGAACACGTTTCTATGACAGCATGTTAGCGGGTATAACCACAAGGGTACAGCATAAATGTAGTTTAAAGATTTTTATTTTCAAAAAGAAGTAATAAAGTATATTTTTTTGAATCGCTCTTCGTCTGGTCCCTCCCCTGAGACCAATTTGCCATGGGAGACCCTATCAGGGGCTAATGCCCCAGACAACACAGCTCCCAGGATCATTGGGACACACAAACCTCTCCACCACGTTAAGGTTGCGATTCCAGGA